CTGGCCTCTTGATAAATCTCTACTTTCTTCAATAAAAATGCTACCCCTATATGAATATCCCTAAAATTCAATCCCAACAATAAATAAAAAATAAATAAATCAATATTTTGGATGCAATATGCATCATTCTTTCACTTCAGATATCCTAAACTTAAGAATGTGTCGATGACCTTCGACCTCTTCTATATCAAGGTTCTTCCTAATCTTGTGCGCCCATTGTGGTTGTCATTAAGCAATTTTTGAAAATAAATTTCCTACCTTTCATTGACCTCATTATCTCTTACCAAGACCCTCTGATCCTCACTCTTAATGCATTTCACATGATATGGATCTTTATACTTCCTCTCTCTCATTTTTGTTAGTTTGAAGATATTTTTTTCACCTTCTATTGTCCCTAATTTGAAGCATAGATTATCATATGCCTTGAGCTTAGCTTTACTTACTACTTTCACAACATTCTTCTTGGCATTTTCATATTCTTCTAAGTTTTGATCAATTTCTATTCTATTGCCAAGTTTTGTCGCATGATTTATTTTTATTTAATAAAAAACAATAGAAGTTCTTTCCCTTAATTCCCTTTTCTTAGCTTTCCTTTTTATTTATTCAAAAAAAAAAAAACAAAGAAAGTTTTATCCCATTTATTTGAATAACTATATAACATCAGGTCATTCAAGCACATCACAAAGAAGCAACTCCAGTGGTTGTGTGTGTGTCGGTGAGAGAGACAGAGGCTATAACATCATCTGCAACTTCCCCAAGCATATCCAGTTAACATGGCCAACTATCTAAAAGATCATGTTACTGAAGCATAGTATAAAGAACCAACTTTAATTTGGTATGAATTAATGAAAGATAGACAAGTCATCTAGACTAAATTACACAACAAAAATGGAGTGATATAGTTCATATATCTAGATTCAATTCCACCAAATCAAACACTAATAAAGCCTACAAGTAGAACACTTCATGGCCATTGAGAGACAAATATGTGAATGAGATAAGTTTGAGAAAGAAAGGAGTACCATGATTGAACCCATAGAAGGCACTTGCAGTCCCTCCAACAGCAGTACCAATCTATCAAAAACATGCATAGAAATATATCACAACTCAATTCAATATTCTCTCCAAAGAAAAACCACAGAGCTTTCCACAAATAACCATGTTTTTTTTGTATGTGACATTCCCAATTTCCAATCCAATGACAAGTTTACTAAGCAGAGAGAAAGACCAAGCCCAATTTCTCCAAAGAAAGGATAGCCTAGTATTTCCACAGAACCCATCCCAGAGAGAAAATTCTGAGATGTGTTCTATATATTATTCTTTGGTAAACACAGTGTTAAAAAAGTTTTAAGAAACAGGAGAGGAATAACTTACCATCGAAAAACTATCTCTAATGAAGGGAGCCACAGTCCAAGTGCTAGATTCCTGCAACCAATCGAAAGAGATGATAGACATTCAAAAGAAATAAAAGTTGGGTCATTTTTTAATGACCGAGGTTGATCGAGAACTAAAAACAAACATGACTCAAAATTGAGAAGAACCCAAAAATGTAAGATATATATATGGAGAGAGAGGGTATTTTAATGGATGAATTTAAACCACTAAAGGTTGAAGAAGAAGCATACAAGGTCTTTAGAGAGAGGACCTGCACAGTGGGGGCATCTCAAATTAGTTGGAGACGTTCCCCCTTTTGATCCCATCCTTGACATGCCTACCATCCCATTAACCAGAGCTCTCTCTCTCTCTCTCTGACAGAATTTTATTGAGCTTTTCTCTAACAAAATTTTATCAAGCTCAAAAGGACGCTTGAAAAATCAAGGCTTTTATTTGTGACTCTACTAATTTCTAAACACTACAAGAAATTTATGGTGCGATTGGCAGAGGCACACAAGGACCCGGTTTCTATGCACCAACCCCGCATATGTTGAAATGCCAGCCTCTTGATAAATCTTCGTAGAAATGAGTAGATGTATTTATAGATCAATCTGCTGAAAAAGTAGAGATAATTGAAAATATGCCTAGCATTTTTATTGATGAAAGTATGGAAGATTCAAAGTCTAATAATGAAGAAATTCTACATTGTATTGATCAGAAAGAAATGTTAACTTTTAACATTATTTTGTTGAAGATATTGTTGGATTTTCAAATGATTCCCTCCTTGTGAAATAACCAAAAAAAAAAATACAAAATAAACCATTTAACAGGCTACTCTTCTTTGAGATCACATCGCATAACAATGAGGAACCAGCAATGTAACAACAATAGAAAAAATGGTAAAACCAGCAAGGAACCAGTGAAAAATGGTATACGAGCTTCTCTTCTTAAGTGAGATTAAACAGAAAAAAAAAAATAGAAAAAGGAAAACTTATTGTATGTTTGGGTTGTTCTTTTGTTGAGCTTAACCAAAAAAATGAAGCCTAAATAAAAAAAATACACTCTGGAAATATGAGGGTTTTCTTCTTTGAGCAGAAAGGAAAAAAAGAAGAGAAAAAAGAAAATCAACTAAAAATGCTATCTGTAGATTTGGGATTAATCAAAAATTGGTACAGATCTGGGGTCATCTTCTTTGAGCCCTAAAAAATATAAAAATATGAAAAAAACAACTCACCATAGTTTTCTCTGAGCTCTAAGCTTGCAGCAATGGGGCGATGAGGGCAAGAGACCTGGGGAGAGGAGGTGATACACTCGGTAAATACGGATTTTTTCTTTGTTGAGCACAAAGAAAAAAAGAAAAAGAAAATCAACTTAAAATGCTCTCTCTAGATTTGGGATTAATCATCTTTGAGCTTATAAAGAAAGATTAAAAAGAAACCTAAATCAGAAATAAATTTAAAGATCTAGGGTCATCTTCTTTGAGCTCTAAAAGAAAAATATATGGAAAAAAATAACTCACTGTAGCTTTCTCTGAGCTCCAAGTTTGCAGCAATGGCGGAGATGAGGGCAAGAGACCTAGGAGGGGAGGAGAGGACGAGTTGGTTGAGCGAGCGTTGAGGGCAAGAGACCTGAGGAGAGGAGGAAGCAACTTAGTTGGGGGCAAGAGACCTGAGGAGAGGAAGAAGCAGCTTCGTTGGTGCGATTAGGGCAAGGACGGTGTCGGCATCGTTGGTGTGATGAGGGCAAGAAATATCGGGGGTGAAGTTCTTATTGAACTTCCAATTTTAAGTTCCAACATTTTGGTCGGAACTTTTTTACACACCAAGATGGGAAGATGAACAGTACGGTGAAGTTCCCATTTGAACTTCCCTTTTTTATCAAACACAAAACATGAACAGTATTGGTAAGTTCCCACTTCCAGGAAGACACTTCCTGTTATCAAACACGCCCTAAAAGTTTCCCTGAGCTATTCCATGGGGTGCGAAAGTAAGAGGAGAATAAGTGGGGAACTGACTGGGAGATTGTTTGCTCTTTGAAGATCTCTTTCTAGAGATTGTTTGCTCTTTAAAGATATATTTCTAACATATGGACAGGGAAGCCAATGGTTCACCGAACCAAACTTTTAATCACTTTTCATAAATGATTTATTATTCATAATTGAAATCCATAAATCCCAAATCAAAACAAAGCTGAATTCTGTGACAAATTTTCTTTCAATAATTCCAAATTTCTTACAAACTACCCATAAAATAAGCCCTTTCCAACTGTGTACTCTTGAAGCTACTTAAAAGTGCCCTAAATAAATGAGGTCACAGGTTCCATCGCTACCTACTACCCATCAACAAGTCAAAAAAAATGATAAGTGATGATTTCAACAACCAGCATTCCCAAAGCCTTTTATATAAAGCCCGAACAGTTCCAGTTTTATATTCCAAGCATGTAAGCAAAAACGATTAAAACAGTACAAAATTCTGCCTAAAAATAAAATTACATTTTTTTAAATACACAGCAGATCCAAATGAGTATTTCACAAAATGCTTTAAAATCCCATAAATAGCCCACAAAATGAAATATTACCAGACCAATAAGATAACTTGCCTGAAGAACTCATAAAACCACATTAATCGAAACTCAAAATCAATTAGCACTAATACACTGCATTGTGCCCAAGACAATTTATCTCTTCAAAAAGGTGAACTCATAATTGAGTCGTTTGGGGCTTCCGATATGTAAATCCTGGATATGCCTCTAAACGTAGGTATGCAGATTCTAGTATATGTAAAACCTGGTTTAGCTACAATCTATTTGGATAGCTTTCGGAGAACCCAATATATAACAAATCCCATGATTGGCTCTACTAAGTTGAAAACCAGGTTTTGGCAATTTGCTGTTAAACTTGTTAGCTGTCCATTTCATAAGTTAATTATTGCATATAGTATATGGACAATAAATATGATTTCCTAGAAATAAGGCATCTACAATATGACAAACAAATTACAAACAAATTAGAAGGTTCAGATCTTATTTCTTAGATCATTTTAAGATCGAATTTGGATACACACAAATACACTGTCTCTCACACACACTCTCTATTGCACGTCCACACTATTGATTATACAGCAACAATGCACTATCCAACATTATTGTATTGTTTTCTATGTATCACTTCTTCTTTGATTGAAAAATATACAACATTATTGCAATATACAGCACATTGCAATATACAACAATATCGTTTTCAATAGAAAGAGCTTTAAAACTTACTATAGCACATTATGCTTGTCTTCTACAGTGCCTTATGGAAAGAACATATTAAACATCCAAAAAAAAGCCATAAATAAAAAAATAAAAAATAAAAAAAGTGATAAAAGGAACATGGTGTAGATTCTACAATCATTAGGATCCTATAAAGGAAAAGGTTCTAATACATGATACCGATTTCGACCAAGAAAGCGGTTCACGACATAGTGGACTTGCACTCTCTTAAAGCATACGAGTAACCAAAACCATAATTATCCAAAGCAGAAAGGAAAAAAGAAAAAAAAAACAGAATATACGATCAAATTTTCAGTGAGCACACCGTGGAAGAAAAGCGGCATTCACCATCTTTGAACACTTATCAAATTTCAGAGTGACAATGTGCCAATAGAGAAGCAGCATTTTAATTGGCAATTCAAATGTAGAGGGAACAAAAACAAAGCAAATAGTACTTATTTTTCAGATTCTTTTATAATTTTTAGTTTAAACCTCTAAAATATATTTTACTGCAGCTTTTACTAATTCTGCTGCCAAAAACTTGGATTCCTTATGAGAATGACAGTGGTTAGCCCATGGGTTCTTGAGACTCAATCCCAAGGTCATGTAGAAGAGTCAAGGATTGAAAATATAGGAGAAAATCAATGTTTTATTGGTTTTCACTTTCTCTCTCTAAAACTACCTTCAAGAACTTGAATTGGCATTGAAAAACTCAAAACCAGCCGAACACCATCAAAATAGCCACACAGTATCTACAATACAAGGTCTTGGTTAGGGCCACACCACAGGAATAATTTTTTTTTTTTTGAGAAATATGTTGACTTTTTATATATAGTAAAAAACTACAAAGAACTAGAATTAATAAATAGTATCTTCATGGACCATTTATTGCTTATTTTTGTAAATGCTAATAATTATTTTGTACATATTTCTTACAACAATTTAGCAGGAACATATACAATGCTACACAGTATACCATATTTAAGCCATCTGATGATGGGAGCATCATCGGAACATTTGTCTTTCATATTTGCATCAGTTTCATTAATTGCATCAGTTTAACATGAAGACACATTTTTATTTTATATTTATTATAATTAACAAATAAGAAAAGGAAAGAAGAAAAAAAGAGTTTTTGGTGAGGGTTATGTTTAGAGAATCACATCATCTTTGTACCTTTCCTCTTTTCGACCCAGTAGTGATCCTATAGAAAAAGATAAGAGAAACAAAATGTGATGTGCCCATACTCAATGGTATAATACGCTATTCAAGCTATCTGATGGAAGCATCATCGGAAAGTTTGTCTTTCATATTGCATCGGTTTCATTAACATAGAGACATATATTATTTAACATGAAGACCCACTGTTCTTTGAGTAAAATTGGTATTTGATTGCCTTCAAAAGCCTAAAAACCTCTAGTAAACATTTGCTAAACAAGATATTACCTAAGATGGACTCCACACTGCACTATGTGCAGATCCCCCTTTTCACTGCATTAGACAGTCCATAATATTTCCCACCCCTGGCTTTAATTGAGTATGGCATGATACCAAGGAATAATAATTGAGCATGCTATCTCATAGATGCAGTGTCCAGAGGCAAGCACAACCAACTCCATCAAACAAAAAATCCAATCAAACGTTGCATGCATCATACAATAAAACCAGAACAATAGATTTGCATGCATTATATAATAAACCTCAAGGTGTTGCAGGCATCATACAATCAAACAATAACAATCAGATTTCAAACAATCAAACAAGGGCAATTAGATTTGCATGCATAAGCCCATCAACCTCAAGGTGCTTGCGTGCATCATACAATCAAACAAGAATAAACGATTTCATACAATCAAACAACCATATTATCAAGAATAAAAAATAACTCCAGATTGAGAAAGGATAAAGCGAACAATGGAAAAAACTCAATCAAAAAAATCAGATTTCCAGAGTGAGAAAATGTCCGAAAAGATCCAAAATATAGAAATCCACAAAATATATCAACAAAAATGCCACATTAATTAATGCACACTGGCCATAACATCAGATTCAGGGAAACAAATGTCACAAAAAAAAAAGATGAACACCCACAAAAATTCGCATTCCCTTGCTCTCCCTCTCTCTCTAGTTAGCTAAAAATCGTGAAGAAGAGAAGGAGCCTGATACGAATTATTTTCACACACAAAAAAAACACAGGAAAACCAGGGCTCATTTGCTCTCTCTCTCTATCTCTCTCTCATGGAGATGGAGCTTGAGATGAAGATTCAAGCTCCGAAATGCCCCAAAATCCCTTCTATTAAATCCCTTTCAACATATATTTTTTAAATTAGGTTGTAAGAATCCATTAGGAGAAAAAACCAGGAAAAACCAACCTCCATTGGCAAGAATGGAAGAACTCGGAAAACAAAAAGCACTATAGTAAAGAAAATGCAATGGAGAAATACCTAATGCAATGGAGAAATACCTAATGCAATGGAGAAATACCTGCTGAAATCAGAATGAATCAAGACACCTCTGTTGATATGGAGACCACAAGCCTCAAACCGTAATGATCAACAACAGGCTTTCTCTGCAGAGTACATAGTTAATACGATGTGCAAAATAAATATCAGAAAAACACGATGATGGTGCTACAGACGAGGATGGGAACAACGGCGAAAATGGAAAACGGGATAGACAGACAAGGAAAGATAGCAATCGGGGTTACGGCTTAACCCTATCTTGCCACGGCGCTGCTGCTACTTGCCATTAATTCAGCGTAACGCTTCTTCCTTGTTACTTGTTATTTCAGATGTCTGTAACGCTGGCAACGGGTTACGGACACCGACCCGGACTCGGACTCGGACTCGAACCTAAAAAATGTAACGTGGGACGGTGGGACCTAAACGCAACCAAAAATCAAGATGTATTTAACTATATTTAAATATATTTCAGATATTGAGACCTGAAAAGTACTGCTCTACTCTGAAACAGACCTGCCAAGTATAATTTTTGGACCCATATAATATTTGGGTCCAAGATTTGGACCTAGACCCAACCCGCCAAGTATAATTTTTAGATCCATACCTGGACCTTGATTGAGTCTACCCTGAGTCTATTGTCACGCCTTGAGATGATATGCTCTTGATTTCTTAGAGACGAGTGGAACTTAAGCATTTTCCACTAATTTTAGAAAATAAACTATGATATAAAATTTATGGACACAATTTCTATGAGTCCACGTAGAAATGAGTCACCTCTTAAATATCTATTTTTGAGATGGATTTCTTAGCCTAATTTTTAAGGACAGACATGTAACCTATAATATGGAAATCATGAATATGAAAAAATAACTAAAATTTGAAAATTAAAAATAGTAGTTCTATTAAGAAAACTATTTGGACCATTAGTTTCAATTGTTTTCAGAGGGACCACCTATTTGCATCCATTTTGAAGATGAATGCATTATATCCCGGGGACCGCAAATGTAGAAATGCGGTCCCCGTCGCATGAAAAAATTTTCCAAAATTTATAGATAGAAAAAGTTTATATAATGTTGGCACTTAAAATATAGAACTAAATGTAGAACTAAGGTGCACCTTTAAAATCCTTTGAAAAGGTCTATTTTGATATTGAAAACATATCTAATTGATCATCTCAACATCAAGTTGATAGCTATGGAGAAAAAAAAAGAGATTTCAAATCTTAAAAATAGTGCATCTTACCACACATTATTTGAACCATCTATTTTCAAGAATTTCATGTGTTTGTAGATATGCTTGATTTGGACCTTTTTTTTGTTTACAATTTTATGATTAGAGATAGAAATAGATTCTTGCACCATCCTAAAAATTTTCGATACCAAAATTGTATCTCATGACAATTTGGAGATGCATTTTACTTTGATTGTTTAAGGTTGCAACCTAATACAACCCACATCCTTTATTAATTCACTTTCTCATTTGTATTTTATATGTATAATTTGTAGTATGAAGCTTACATACTTTGTAATTTTATATAGCCTAGTTTAGGAAAACATGGGTATGTTTGGCATAAAGGATGGAAGAACTCATTCTAGATCTTTAGCTCGAATGGAGTGTATGTACGATTTGGGACTAGAGGTGGCAATGGACCTGATCAGACCCAGGACCCGACGGGTAGACCGGAGCTCAAGTCTGAGTATGGGTCCAAAGTTTGGACCCGAAAAGGTCGGGTCCGAATCTAAAACTTGGACCTGAATACTATTCGGGTCGAAATCCATGTCCAATCGGACCTTACCCATTGCCACCCCTATTTGGGACCTAATGGGGATATGCAAAACCATGATTTGGGGCCTCAAAATGCGTCCAAACAGCCTAGCTTATCGTAGATCTTGCATATATGTTAAAACAATTTTTGAATATATAAGGACCTGGACTACCCATTAAATTCTAAGATTATTTCTTTAAACCAAACAGAAGCAACTACATCCCCATGCTTTCGTAAATTTAGTTATACAAAATCTATGCAAATATAGAACTGTACAAAAAATAAAAATGAGAAAATGAATGAATAAATCTTATAGTATTGTATTTATGACCTAAGGTTAATGGAAGTGGCTGAAGTGGCTGCATAATTTTCCCCCACACCACTGAGGAATCAGGAGGTCCAAAAAAATCTATTTTCTATAAAATACATTTTATTGCAAAATAGATTTTCTAGAAAATAGATTTTCAATTGTTAACCATTTTGATGCACCCTTCCATAAACTTAGATACATTGGCCCCGAAAACTGATTGAAAATTTCACCTAAAATAGTGGTAAAAAGATCATCAAGCATAACCCTACTAAACTTAAGCTCCAGGAATATGAGACTAGGGGTGGGAAATGGGTTGACCTGTTACCTCATCAGTTGGCCTGACCGGGTCTAGGTTTAGACCTAGATAATGGATCTAGCAAGTCGGGTCTAGATCTACTAAACTTTGACCGGGCTAGGGTCGAGCCATGTTCAGCTTGGTCCCTATTGGATCAAGTCCAAGGCAAGGTCAACCCAACCCGACCCAACCTATATATAATAAGTACATGATATATATAAATTAATAGTTATTACAATATATAATTAAAATTGTATATTTTTCTTTTCAAGATCCTAAACCGGGTCGGGTTGGGTCTGGGTCTAACTTGGACCTCATCAGGTTGGGTCTGAGTTTGCAGCCCCACTCGAGGAGGGGGGCCGAGAGAGAAAGTGTGTGTGTGAGTGTGTTTTAAGTAAGTAGGGCTTTAGCTCCGTGAAGGAAAACTAATGGGGAAAAAGACTTTAGCGAATTCAAGGAAATACATTTATCTGATTTTCTATTTTGGCCTCAAAATAGAGAAAACGATTTTCTACCAAATATAAAAATAAAAATTCCATCCTAGATTATCATCATCATCATTGCCTTGATCTTGGACCCAAATACCAAAAATAAACAATTTCCCTACAATATCATTTCCTACTAATCTTTTTCCCATAGATCAAAAAGTCCTACAATGCCATTTCCTACTAATCTTTTTCCTAGAGATCGAAAGGTGTATGTCGAATGTCATATTTATTTCAATTGAGTTTTTTGAGATTTCAAGTGCGTTGTACTGCATTCTTGCAAAGAGGTTACATCTCGTCGAAAAGCTACTATTTGGCTTCTCGTCCGCCAGATTTTATTTGCTTTGCTTTAACTCATAATCTGGCACATGTACCCAATTGTAAAGTAATGAGCTGTTAACTTTCTATTTTTACTTATTAATAAAAAATGGGTAAAAGGCCTTCTCCCCCACTAACTTACCCAAAAAAAAAAAAACATTTGTACCGTATAAAATTGAGGGATATGCCCCAAGATTTTTCAGTGAGAGGTACATATTAGTGTTCTAAATAGGCTAGGCTTGGACCAAGCTATCCCTGACCCTAGT